GTCCCCTCCCCCTCCCCTCCTCCTCCCCCTCCATTCCCATCCTCCTCCCCTCTCCCACCCTGACCCCCCTCACCCCCTTTCTTTCTCTTCCTCTCCAATTCTCCACCCTGCCCTCCTCTCCTCTCATGGGCCCCCCTTGAGCACAGAGGCAAGGTGCCATCGTTGGCGTGTGGGGAGTGGGGACAGCGTGGTGCGTGTGTCCTCATCTCTCTCCTTCTATTGACAGTGACGGCGCGGGCAGGAGCGGCACCTACATCCTGATCGACATGGTTCTCAATAAGATGGCCAAAGGTAAGGCTCGGAGCGGGGCTGCTCTGTGTGGCTCAGAGCCGGCTGGGGTTGCCATGGCAACCTCGGTGCAGCAGTCACAGAAATCCTCGGGGAAAATTAGCCTGAGCCGCAGGAAGGCTGTTTGCGGCAAAGCGCGTCCATTTCTAAGGTTCCTCCTTCGTCACCTCCTCCCGGGGTCGCACGCTGGGCTCAGCGCACAGTCGGTGACGCGTGAGTGCTCGCTGAGGACGTCCTGTGTTAACACCAGGAGTGAGGAGAAGGCAGCCCTGATCTTCCAGCGTTTCAGCAGCTCAGAATAGCCTTAAATCCTCCCTGTTACTCAAACTATATCTGCAAAATTCAGAGCCACCTAAAATCTCTTGGAGTGAGTGTCTCTAAAATAGGTCACCTTCGGATGCCCCTTTGTAACATCGTTTGAGCACATGAATCACTCTCCGTGGTCCTGGGCCTTTCCCTCCTAAAGACAGTGTCCGGGGACTTGGGGTTAGAGTGCTGTGATCTGAGCACAGACCTGGGATGAGTTCATGGCTTGGGTGGAGTTTAACCCATGAGAGTGCAGGGACCAAACGGGGCTGGGGCTCCCCAGGCGTGGTCCACAGGACAAACCCGTGAGGTGTCCCCTTAGAGGCCAGTAGTCAACTGGGAGAAGATTCTCTCAGACCCGCCTCTGGGAGAACCACGCACCCGTCAGCAAGGAGACCCTAACCTGGCCTGAAAAGGCGCTTCCTTGTTCTTGAGCTGCCTGTCAGCCTCCAGGGAACTTGGGCAGGAAACACTGCGATGAGTGACATCTTACGGTCTCCTTCCCACCTGTGAAAACGTCTTCCTCTCCACATTGACACACACTCACGCACACACGCACACGTGTGTTCTTAGCTAGGGCACCCACCTTCCAGGACGCCCACCCTTCATCCTGTGCCTGCAGTGAGAGCAGACACTGATTACAGAAATGGATTTCTATACATTGTCACACCACTGTCAGCAGCTCTGAAATAGGCATCTTTCTTACTCCATTTCTCCTGGTTAAAAGAAAAACAGAACACATCTTTAGCCCAAGGATATCGACGTGTGAGGATAAAATAAGAGCCATTGTGTTACACACGAGGACTAGAGAGCTTGAGCGTTTCCAGCCCTACAGCTGGTAAGCATGTGACCAGCCGGGACCCAGGACTGGCCCCCTTGTGCCGCAGGCTCCCTGCCGGCTCCGGGGCGGGGAGGCGGGGGTGCGGGACGGTGGGCCGGGCTCACACCACCAGAGACCGTATTTCACGCCCTGAAGTAGCTCTGAGCTGTGATGTGCAAACAAAGAAACAACGAAGCAAATGCAAATGCTCTGACGGTGCTTTTTAATAACATGTTTTGGCCTTAGATCCAAAAAGCTAACTTTTTTGGCGGAAAGGTCATTTGTTCCCCGTCCAGTAATGCCTCTGTGTCCCATCGACTGTATCTGTCTCTTCATTTGCAAACGCGCCGTCACTCCGAGCCGGCAGCCCACAGCGGAATTCCTGCTTCTCCCCCATCCTGCTCCCCTGTCTGCTGTCACATGTAGCGTTTCCCCGTCTGTCAAACCAAATGCCTTCCGAGAATGCAGATCCCCTTGCGTGTTTGAGGTGCTGCCTTTGTGTGTAAGCAAGTGACACAGGAACCCCCTGCGTATACACCGTGTGGCATGGCGCCCGGCTCGTCCCAAGGACAGGCGCCCCAGCGGTACCGGTACCGGGGCGGGGGGAATACCCGGGTGTCCACGCAGCAGGTGTGAGGGCACCTGGAGCAGGACAGTGCCGCAGCCCCGGGGGCGGGGCCGACTCCATCCCGGCTGCCCCCCGCCCCGCCTGCCCCTGGGCCCGAGGTGCCTGCCCCGTCCTGTCAAATCCCACTTGAGGCTCGGCTGCGGCAACAGTGCGAGCCCAGCCATGTGGAACTGACCCGGGAGGGCGGTCTCCAGGCTCTTTCAGAGATTGGTCACCCCTCATTCTGCCCCTGACCTGCTCCCCTCTGCCCGGGGGCCCGCGCTGTGAAATCCCCTGACCCGGGGCCCAGGCTGCAGTCTCGGGCCAGATCAAAGGGCAGGGCGGCCCCTCGGCCTGCGAGGTGGGCCTTTCCCAGGCCGCCCCGGCGAGCGGCCGCCGGGGTTTTGTTCTGGGCCGGGCTCGCGGGGCCGGGCGGCCAGGGCCACCTTTGTCTGGCTTGAGAAGCCGGAGGCCCGTGCTGCCGGCCCGCGTTCATCAAATGATCAAAGGCTCTGGGCCTGGACACGAAGCCTTTCTTCCTGTTCCCTTTTTCTTAAAGGAATGAATTGCAGGAGGACCGAAGAATGCCTCTCCCAAGCTGTCCTGCAGCCCGGCGCCTGCGTCGGCCCTGGGCTCTGAGGCTGGCCGGGGACACTCGGGCAGCCCAGCCAGCCACAGCCTGGAGCCTGGGCCGGGCACACGGGCTTCGGGGAGTAAAGCCTTTGATGCAGCAGGAATCGTAAGGGGCTTTCGGCACCGTCTGGTCTGTCAGCGAGCAGACAGGATGCGGTTGGAAGTCTGAGTTGGGGGGCTGGTTCTCTGCCCGGGTTTGTGGCGGGAAAGTCAGGGGTCAACCTGTAAAATTCTTCCACACGTTTTTCCCGTGGCTGCGAACACGCGTCTAACTCGGGCTAATATTTTGGGTCAGAATCAGGGTTCGGTAGCGTTCCTCTCTCACCTAGGGACTGAGCTCAGACGTAGCAATGTTGGTTTTGCAGCCGAGATATTCTCCAAGCTTGTGCCTCTTACGTTTTTGTCCGTGACCTCTCTTTGCCCAGGGTCACCACAATTTTTCAAACAAATGGAGAGCACCAGGCGGATGATGGGGCTTCCCGAGGACCACATGTGCTGGGTCACCTGGAGGTGGCCTCACGGGCTGTCCCTCACCGGGGGCCACGGAGGAAGCCCCACCTCTGGGAAGCTGGCCGTGCCGCCCTGAGCCTCCCGGCTCCTGGGGTGTCCGCAGGCCTGGACTGTCCTGGGGGCCTGTTCCTGTCGTTTGGCAGGAACTGCAGCAGGACTGGGATTTCATGGTGTGACGTGGGGTGCTGGCCCGAGTCGGCAGGTGCGCCTGGAGACGCCTCTTAAGCTTGCATCGGCCGCGAGTTCGTCCTAAGCGGTCTCAGCACGGAGTGTGAAGGGATGTGCAGCGCCCGCGTGGCCGTCTGTCCAGCTCCCGGTCTCCATCCTCAGGAAGCTCGTCTTCTTTACTATGTCCCTGTCACATGGTGGCATCAGTAAGCATCTCCTCATGCACAATCTCCATCGTGCCTCCTGTGTCTGTGACTCTGACAGCTCTTGGGACCTCACATGAGTGGAATCAGACAGTGTGTGCCCTTCTGTGCCTCGCTTATGTCACTGAGCATCACGTCCTCAAGGTGCACCGGGTTGGAGCCAGTGGCAGGATTTCCTTCCTGATGAGGCTGAATGACGTTCCGTTGCAGGGGTGGGGACCACGGGTAGCTTATCCGTCATCCATCTGTAGACACTCGGGTCGCTTCCACCTTTCAGCTGTTGAATTAATGCTGCTACGATCGTGGGTGTGCAAACATCTCTTTGAGCTTCTGCTTTCAGTTCTTTGGGGTTATACACCCCGTGTGGAATTGCTGGATCGCATGGCAGTTTTATTTCTAATTTCTTGAGGATCCTCCGTACTGTTTTCCACGGCAGCTGCACCATTTTCCATTCCCACCAACAGTGCATAAGGAAGGGCTCCAGTTCCCAAACCCCCTTCAACACTTGTGTCATTTTCTGGGGTTTTGATGGTAGCCATCCTCATGGCTGGGAAGCAGCATCTCGCTGTGGGTTTGCTTTGCATTTTCCTAAGGACTAGAGATGTTGAGCACCTTTTCATGTGTGTGTCAACCATTTGGACATTTTCTTTGGAGAAGTGTCTATTCAAGTTCTTTGCCCATTTTTTAATTGGGCTGTTTGGTTTTTTGTCATTGAGGTGTAGGAGTTCTTTATATATTGTGAATATTAAACCCTTATCAGATGTGTGATTTGCAAATATTTTCTCCCATTCTGGGAGAAGTAACACTTCGTGGCTCGTTGAACTTTTAAAACCCAGCACTCCCCCAGAGCTGCACTGTTCAGGGCATTAGCCATCAGCCACGTGTGGCAACTTACATGATAAGATTGAAACGCTGACCACATGCCAGGCGCCCCAATACACAGGTGCCCGGGGGCTGCCAAACAGGCGGTGCAGACGGAAAACGCGCCCGTAACGGGAAGTCCCGTTGGGTGGCCGTGCTCCAGGGAGCAGAGCTGAAGGTGGTCGTCCACGTGTGTCCGGTCCTCCATCTCTTCTGTCTCTCGGCCCTGCTCCCTCCGTCCCTTCCTCTGTGGCCTTGGACTGGCCTCCCCGCTCGCTCCTGTGCCCGTCTCTTCTGCACACAGCGGTCAGCAGGATGTTAAGAGAGAGCTCTCGGGAGGCCCCACGTGTTCGTAGCCCCTCTCTCTGGGCCACGCCGGCTCCTTCCTGCAGAACCCAGGACCCGGCCCTGGTCTGCGGGGGACGTGCCCCCCACTCCCTTTCCCCACTCGTGGACCCTGCTGTCCCCCTCGGCCACCATCACGGTATCGTTCCCCCTTTTGGCAAATACGGGCTGAACCACAGAAGTGTGTTCCAGCCTAGTACTTACTGAGCACCCAGAATACATGGTGAGCAAGGGAACGATCTGCCCTCCTGGGCTTTACACTCCATGCGGAGAAGCAGGTGGGGGCTGCAGCTGTGACTTGGGGCCCCGGGATGCAGGGGCAGTGGCAGGGTCGCTTCGCCCCACGCCTGTCACAGAGCCCCGTACGCGTCTGTAGCCCGTTCCTCACAGCCCCAAGGGGCCCTGAGGGCTCATTTATTCCGACACTTGGTTGCAAACTGAGGAAGCAGATCCCCAGAGGTTTGGTGACGTGCCGGAAAGCAACCAGCTGGCCAGCCTGATGCGGAGCCTGGTCTTTCTGCAAATGGCAGAGCCCAAGAGCTTAGGGGGC